AAGCCCAAAGTGGAATAAAAGTAGAGGTCAGCTCCACAGGGTGACTCAGAGAGAGGGAGAGAGAGAGAGAGTGTGTGTGTGTTTGGGGCAAGTGTCTGGATAAGTATAGGAAGCCACATGGCCGAAGGCTTTGGGGTTTAGGGTATTCAAACCATGCACTTATCAATTTATTTGCGGGACACCTGGATCCATCTGAGCCCTGGTGTCCTCATACCAGCAAATGGGACCCAGAGAGCTGGTGTAGGGTATCCCAACTAACAGCCAGAACACCTCTGGGAGATTTCGGCATCTTCTAGGGTGAGATGGGCCCATGCACTCCAGGGTCAGGGGAACAGGGATCCCTCAAGATCCCGGGCCAGGTGAGGGAGGTGAAGGGGGGACACATGGGTGTAGACAGCTGCCTCCACCACATAGGCCCTTCCGTCACAGGGACAGGGACCCTAAAGTCAAAGAGGTCAGGTCCTCTTGCCCATCTCCAAAAGACAGAACTGACCCCTGACCAAGCCATCTACCTTGAGAGCAGTGGGGGAAGAGCCAGCTACCTGCTCAGTGCCGGCGCCTCCCACCACCACCTCCCCCGCTGCACCGTTATAAACACTTCCGCTTCTTGTTAAGACTTCTCAGATAAGGGGCGCCTGGGTGGCTCAGTGGGTTAAAGCCTCTGCCTTCGGCTGGGGTCATGGTCCCGGGGTCCTGGGATCGAGCCCCGCATCGGGCTCTCTGCTCGGCGGGGAGCCTGCTTCCTCCTCTCTCTCTGCCTGCCTCTCTGCCTACTTGTGATCTCTGTCAAATAAATAAATTAAAAAAAAAAAAAAGACTTCTCAGATAAGGCAACTAGAAAGCTAGTTCTGTGCAAACATTTGTGAGCCGCCTACCTTAGTGTCAAGATGGGGGTCAGATGCCGGGAGTCCTCTTGAATCCAAGAAATCCTGCCGGATGCCAGGACATACCAGGACGGGGAGGACCACATGAGCCCAGCCTCAGACAGAGAGAAAAAAAAATAGAAGGCACCGAAGGGGGATTCTTCCTCCCCACCCCATCCCCACCTCGGCGACCTCGTCCCTGCTCCCAGCGCCCCTACAGGCCTGGAGCGTCCCGGCAGCGCCAGCTCAAGACAGGCACCCGCAGAAGCCCTTGGCCAAAGCTCTTGGGGGCCACCCGCTCTGAACACGGGCCTTGGCGGGAGATTGTCTTGCTCTTCTCCCGCGGCTGCCACCCTTCGGTGTAATCGTCCCCGCTTCCCAGGGCGGCTTCCTGGCTGAGCTCGGTGCCCCCATCCCTGCCTGTCGCAGGCAGCCCGGGGAAGGGAACGGGGAAGGGGGGGCTGTGAGCCGGGGACTCGCGACAGAACACTCCCGGCCCTCCGGGGTGGCGGCCCAGGACCACCTCCCCCACCGCCGCGGTCCTGTCTCCGCAGAGCCTTTAACTCACGGAGCCCCGGTCTGCGCTCGCGTCTCCCGGCTGCTGCGAGGCCGTGCGTCCTTGACTGCAGGGTGACTTGGGAGGTAGACAGTGATTCTTTTAAAGGGGAAAAATAGTCCTTAGGGGAAGATGGCGTCTGGGGCGGCGGGTGTAGCCAGGGAAGGAAGGCAGTGCTGTTCCTTACTCCAGGTCTGTTGAGTTGTGGGAATGCCGCCCCCCCACCCCCCCCTCCCCCGCCACCGGGTCCCGACAGAAGGTGTGGGGGGGGGGGGCACTTAGCCTCCTATTCATAGAGGCAGCTGCCTTTGGGGAGGGGATCTACTTCCTGTGCTCAGAGCCCCGGTACCCTTTCAGCCCCTGGTGGGGGGGGGGGGGGGGGGGGGGGGCGGGCGGAAGGCCACCTGACTTGTGCCTACTACATAACATGCCAGGGTGGGGCAGGGCACAGGAAATGGACCTGGGCACCAGCCTCAGCATTGATCGCCTTTCCTTGCTGCTAACAGGCTGTCCTCCTTGGGGACTGTGAGGGTTGGTCACTGCTTGGCAATCAGTGTTTGTCCCCACCACCAGGCCACCTCTCCTGAGGGGAGAACGGAATACCACCTGGCTGTTCCTTGCTGTCTAGTCCCCAGCGGCTCATGGTAAGGTCCTGCTTACAGGTTGTAGCCTTACCTCATCGCTCTCCCCAGAATTCTAGGGCAGCTGCTTCCTGGACCTTGAGATGGGGTGAGACCCAACAGGGAGTAGCTGGGTGCCAGGATTCCCAGCAGCTGTGGACTCCTGGGATAGCCCTGGGGGAAGCCCTTCTCTCCTGCCCACTCCAGACTAGGCAGGGCAGGCTTCCCCTTTGCTCCAACCTTGGTAGACCAGAGTTAGTGACCTCGGACCCCAGGTGCTGAGGAGGAGGGGTGCAATAGAGGTTCCTTCTGCTCTAAGGCCAGGCCCATTGAGTTGAGGGCCCCCGTATGGGGCTCCAGACTGTAGCTTCCCTTTGGCTGTTGGGGTCTCCACCAGGGCTGAAGCCCCCTCCTTGTAGGACAGGGCTGCAATGGGAGCCCCAAGAGAGATAGTGGGGATAATAGGGCTTACAACTTTTTCATTTAAAAGGAAATTCTCCAGGGGCTCCTGGGTGGCTCAGTGGGTTAAGCCTCTGCCTTCGGCTCAGGTCATGATCTCAGGGTCCTGGGATCGAGCCCCACATCAGGCTTCTGCTCAGCAGGGAGCCTACTCCCCCCCCCTCCCCACAGCCTCTGCCTGCCTCTCTGCCTACTTGTGATCTCTGTCTGTCAAATAAATAAATAAAATCTTAAAAAAAAAAAAAATCAGTGGTCAGAATTCTGACCTCCACCTGACTGTGGAGAGCTGGAAGAAGGGTAGCTCTCATTCTTGCTATAAAAAAGAGCTGCTGTAACATCGGGGTTTTTTTACTTTGCTTGAACCTACTGGAAGCTGGGTCATAGAGTAACCCACTAGCCTGAAATCTGAGAGCCAGTGCCTGGGATAGGACAGGAGAAAGAAGAGGTTGGTTAGGATAGTAGACAAATTGGTTAAGAGTGAGTATACCCTAACAGCATTATATGAATCCCCTGGAAACCATTTAAAAAAAAAAAAAAAAAAAAGGAAAAGTACACACCCTCTTGGAGACACTTTCTTCCATTAACCTCACTGGGTGTTCATCACAACAAGCCTTAAAAAGTGGGCTGTGGACCAATATGGAACAGTTTAACATATGCATAATTGGAATCCCAGAAAAAGAAGAAAGAGAAAATGGGGCAGAGATAATATTTGAAGAAATAATGGCTGAGATTTTTTTCCATATTAGTGACAGACACAAAACCACCAATCCCACAAGCTCGATGAACTTTGTATCAATCGTGTATTATCATTTCTGTAACTTGATGCATTAATATCATCAAGATGGATGTCAATTACTTTAGGTAAACTACTAGGGAGGGAAGATAACCATTTAACATCCCTACATTCCTAGCACAGCATGAGGTCACAAGGGTGCCACTTTTAAAATTATTTTTTTATTTAAATATTTTTATTTATTTATTTGACAGGGAGACATCACAAGTAGGAAGAGAGGCAGGCAGAGAGAGAGTGGGAAGCAGGCTCCCTGCTGAGCAGAAGCCTGGTGTGGGGCTCGATCCCAGAACCCTGAGATCATGACCTGAGCCGAAGGCAGAGGCTTAACCCACTAAGCCACCCAGGTGCCCCAGGGTGCCACTTTTAAATACAGCTAGCCAATCCTGGATCCTCCTTCTTCCCTCCTCCTTCTGGAAGAAACCACAAAAAAGACACTAGTCCACATTTCCTCCCTCTCCCTCTGTCTTATGACTGACCCCAGAGCTTCCCCTGAGCAGGTCTGTGGAGTGCAGTGTTCTTCCCAAGAAATTAGAATACAATAATTTTATAATTTCATGGTCATTCTCTCCTTCTGATTTGTGTTTGGCCTTACCATACCCTTGTTAAAATAAAAAACAAAGAGACCAACCTGGGAAATTTCCTGAGCCAGCAAAACCAGTTTAGTCACACAAGCAAAGCTTAATTTAGCCTATTTTGCAAGTCTAACTTGACATGGGTTGTTTCTTGCTAATACCTCTGGAAATCATAAGCAAAACCAATCACTGATCAATTCCCTATCACTTAAGAAAATTCCATTATAACCAATCACTGTGAAGAATAACCAGTCACTGCTTTCTCACTATCTAAGCTGTTTTATTACAACATATCCCTGAGCCACATTCCATATTTTCCTTTGAGTGCTCCCAGTTTGCAAAACATCTTCGGTGTGTACCAATAAACTTTTACCAAGTACTCTTTGATTATTGGTCTTCTTTTATTTCTGGACTTTTGACATCTTTGTTAATAAATTTTGATGAAAACAAATTCCAAGAAGGATAGAAAGCTCTCCCACCACCCAAAGTCACATTTACTCATCATATTCAAACTGCTAAAAACAAAAAACAAAATCTTTGAAGGCAGCCAGAGGGGGAAAAAAGACCCATTAGCTACAGATGGACGAGGCTATGAAGCACAGCAGCTTCTCATCAGAATACGTACAAGCGAGAAGATGGTAGTATCATCTCTACAGTGCTGAAAAACAAAACTGTCAACCCAGAATTTTTACTTAGTGAAAATATCCCTCAGAAGTGAAGAAGAAATAATTTCACAACTAGCAATAACTGAGGAAAGTCACTGCCAGCAGACCTACTCTACAAGAAACGTGAAAGTAAGTGATTCAGGCAAAAACAAAAATAAACAGGGACACCTGGGAGACTCAGTCCATTAAGTGTCTGCCTTCGGCTCAGGTCATGATCCCAGGATCCTGGGATCAAGAGCTTCAGGATCCAGTTCAGCATCTGGTTCCTTGCTCCTGGAGCCTGATTATCCCTTTGCGCCTCCCTCTGCTGGTACTCACACGTGCGTGCTCTCTCTTTCTCTCTCTGACAAATAAAATCTTTAAAAGAAACAAAAAACAATCAGGCATGATGCTTTTGAAATTTTAGTGGACTTCCTAGAAGCACTTGTTTTATGTTTAGATGGTATAAATAGTGATACAAATATTAGGTGGAATAACTATATAGCTGGTCCAGTTTTTGTACTCTGCAGTGCAGTAACAGATTTTGATTTCATCGTTACCATTGTTGTTCTTAAAAATGTTCTATCTTTTACAAGAGCCTTTGGGAAAAATCTCCAAGGGCAGACCTCTGACGTCTTCTTTGCAGCCAGTAGCTTGACTGCAGCGCTGCATTCACTAAATGAAGTGATGGAAAATATTGAAGTTTATCATGAATTTTGGTTCGAAGAAGCCACAAATTTGGCAACTAAACTTGATATTCAGATGAAACTCCCCGGGAAATTCCGCAGAGGCCAGCACGGTAACCTGGAATCTCAGCTCACCTCTGAGAGTTACTATAAAGAAACTCTAAGTGTTCCAACAGTGGAACACATTATTCAGGAACTGAAAGATATATTCTCAGAACAGCACCTCAAAGCTCTTAAATGCTTATCTTTTGTACCCTCTGTCATGGGACAGCTCAAATTTAATACATCAGAGGAGCACCATGCTGACATGTACAGAAGTGACTTGCCCAATCCTGACACACTCTCAGCTAAGCTGCATTGCTGGAGAATCAAATGGAAACACAGAGGGAAAGATATAGAACTTCCATCTACCATTTATGAAGCCCTCCATCTACCAGACATCAAGTTTTTTCCTAATGTTTATGCATTGCTGAAAGTCCTGTGTATTCTTCCTGTGATGAAGGTTGAGAATGAACGCTATGAAAATGGGCGAAAGCATCTCAAAGCATACCTGAGGAACACTTTGACAGACCAAAGGTCAAGTAACTTGGCTTTGCTTAACATAAATTTTGACATAAAACATGATCTCGATTTAATGGTGGACACATATATCAAACTCTATACAACTAAGTCAGAGCTTCCTACAGATAACTCAGAAACCATTGAAAATACCTAAGAAACGTTTAAAGTAGGCTTTCTCTTATGTTTGGTGTTTGGAAAAATCTGTAAGAAATTTGAAAACATCTTACAGAAAAGCTGTCAGGTATATGCAGGCCACTTAATCACTGAATATCTTGACATATTGACCTCTCATTGAGCGTATTAGCCATTGATAATCTGCCTATTTAAATGGCCCCTGTTTAAACTCTCATGCTTTGGAGACATACCTGTTCTTCCAGAAGATAGCATTGAAAGTGCCACATTACACTTCTATGGGATTTCTGCTAGTGGCACTTGGGAATTGTTTTAGTTAAGTCATTTTAGACATAACATTTATTATCACTGGATCCAATTGTCGGGTATTGAGTTATCACTTCTTAGAAGATAAAGATTTTGAAGAGGTATGGGGGGAAGGGATACATTTTAGAAAATGTTACAAGAAGCTCATGAGTGACCCTTGAGTAGTGGGAGTGTTAGTATGTTAAAAATCTGTAATGGACAGTTCAGGGATTTACCAGACAGAAACACGTGAGCTTGCCAAGCAAGGATTGCAGTAGAGATTTTGTCTTTATCAAATGAACTTAACAGAACAGGTTACAGTTAAAGTTTGAATGGGAGAGCCTGCCATTGTTCCTCATTGGGTTGTTGCTGTTTACATTCTTTTGTTGAGCCTACATCTTCATAAGCTCTTTAGCACCTGTTATGTTGAAACACCAACGACTTTATAAGCTTTTTAGCAGGTATATGTTGAACACCTCTGTTCATGGTCAAGGCAGGATCAGAGGCCATGGATACTGACAACTGATTTGTCTGTTTTCCTCTTTTTCCATGACTCTATCTACTGCCTCATCTTGATTTATAAACAAAACCTGGAAAACCTACAAAAATAAGTGTTTTGTGGTTTATCTAGGAATAATACAGAAAATATTGCTGTTATTTTTGGTGAAGAAGATCAATTTTGTATAGCTTATTTCAACTTAAATAAAATGTGAATTTTGTTTAAAGTTAAAAAAAATAGGTTGGAAATTTAGATCTACGCCAAGAAATGACACACATTAGAAATAGAAGAAATGAAGACAAAGTAAAATATTTTTCTGATTTTTATCACTCTAAAAGCTACCTGCTTAAAGCAAAAATTGTAACAATGTCTTCTGTATGTGTAGCGTATTTTAAAGTGAGGTGTGTGACCCAATGACAAAGAAATGGAAGGGAGGAATTGGGAATAAGCACTTAAAGGTACTTACACTACAAATGAAGTATTTAAAAAAGGAATCAATAATAAGTCAATTGAGGGGGCGCCTGGGTGGCTCAGTGGGTTAAAGCCTCTGCCTTCGGCTCAGGTCATGATCTCAGGGTCCTGGGATCGAGCCCCGCATCGGGCTCTCTGCTCAGCAGGGAGCCTGCTTCCCTTCCTCTCTCTCTCTGCCTGCCTCTCTGCCTACTTGTGATCTCTATCAAATAAAATAAATAAAATCTTAAAAAAAAAAAAAAAAGTCAATTGAGGAGGTGAAAAGAAATAATAAAACTAAATCCATAAAGGCAAGAGAAGAGGAGAAAACAAATAAAAAAACACTTAGCAAGCACATAGATTTTAATCCAACCATGCCAATGAACACCATTAATATTAATGGCCTAAATGTTACCGGGTGAAGACAAGAGATTGTCAGATTGGTTAAAAGAAAAAAAGAAAGACCCAACTGTAGGTGGTCGGCAAGAAACCTACTTTATTTATTTATTTTTTAAATTCATTTGAGGGAGAGAGAGATCACAAGTAGGCAGAGAGGCAGGCAGAGAGAGGGGGGAAGCAGGCTCCTTGCTGAGCAGAGAGCCTGATGGGGGGGGCTCGATCCCAAGACCCTGAAATCATGACCTGAGCTGAAGGCAGAGGCTTAACCCACTGAGCCACTCAGGTGCCCCAAGAAGCCTACTTTAAATAGAAAGACATGGGTAGGTTAAAACAGTAGTTATAAAGGAGGAGAAGGGTAATTTTGCTTACCAGCATACAGCTGGCAATGTTTGGAGGCATTTTGGTTTTCAGAACTAGGAGGTGCTGGTGCGTAGAGAGGCCAGGGACACTGCTAAACATCTTACCCTGGACAGAACAATCCTGCTACAAAGAATTATCTCAAAATTTCAGCAGTGTTGAGGTTGAAAAACTTTGGGATAAAAGTAAATAATTGGAAAGAGATCGTGAGAAACAGCAACCAAAAAAAAAAAAAAAGTTTGAGGTCATCATGTTTATTTTGTTTTTTTAGTTTTTTGTTATTTTATTTTATTTTAAAATAACAACAGGTGGGAGATCAGGTTTGGCCCAAGGTTTGCAGACCGTGTTATACACCAATTTTAATATGAATAATAAAAACATTTAAAATAGTAACAAAATTAAGTAGGTATACGTTTAATAAAATAGGGGCAGGATTTGTATGCTGAAAACTATAAAATTCTGATGAACACAAATAGATAAAACTTCAATAAAACAAGATGGGATTGGGAGGGAGACAAACCATAAATAACTCTTAACCTCACAAAACAAACTGAGGGTTGCTGGGGGGAGGGGGGTTGGGGGTGGGGTGGGGTTATGGACATTGGGGAGGGTATATGCTATGGTGAGTGCTGTGAAGTGTGTAAACCTGGCGATTCACAGACCTGTACCCCTGGGGATAAAAATACATGTTTATAAAACATAAAATTTTAAAAAATAAATAAATAAATAAGATACACCGTTTTCACTACTCAGAAGCCTCAATATTCTTAGGTCAGTTATTCCTAATTTGATCCAGAGATCCAATGCAATTCCAATCAAAATCCCCGCAGGCTTTTTTTCCCCCCCTTCCTTTGTAGATATTGACAAGCTGAGTACGAACTGCAAACAGCACTCTGAGAACCCTAGGTCTAGAAAAGCGAGGACTGACTGGCTGGTAAACAAATTTTACTTTTTCTCAACATACTTTGTGGGTTTGTCTTACACACGCGCAGACCACACACCACACCCACAGACAAACGAGGGCCAGAACAGCCGTGTCCTTCTGAGAGCAGACCCTGGAAACAGTGAACCTGCACTTTGAGGTTTGGGGGTCTGCGCGTCTCCTGTGCTTTCCATCTCAGCCTTGAGAACCGTTCCGAATGCCTGGGTTTCACGCCCTTCCCCCGCTCCCCAGCTGGAGGGGTTTGGGCCGGACTAGCTCCGCCCCGCGCCGACTACTTCTGCAGACCCGGTGCGCGTCCATGCGCGCAGAGCGCAAAGGGACTGCAATCCCTAGTCAGCGCCGCGGCGTTTCCACGCGCACGCGCTTGCTGGGATCGCCCCAAGGAGCTGCCTCGGACTTGGAAAGCAGTTGGTTGGCTGAGTTCGGTTCGGCGGCGGTCCTGGTAAGAGGGCGGTCGGCTTGGATTCCCCCGCGGATTCCAGGCAGCAGCGCGGGCCGGAGCAGCAGGGGAGAGACCCCCTTCCGAGACGGCCTCCAAACAGGACCTCCTGAGCGCCCTTCTGCCTTCCCTCGGTCCTTTCCTGACCTTGACGCTGCCTGTCTCATTTCGGAGCCCCGCCGTCGTGGAACACCTGCTTCTCAGGTTCGTGGTTTCTAATTTTCAGGAAACGCTTGGAGTTGTCATCTTTTTTTCACGCAGCTTATTGGAATTACTTCCACGGACTCACCTTCGTTGCTCCGTGAGTAGGGATCCCCACCTCCCGTCCTCCACCCCACTTTTTTTTTTTTTTAAGATTTATTTATGTATTTGAGAGAGAATGAGAGAGCGCGAGCATGAAAGGAGGGAGGGTGGAAGGGGAAGCAGACTCCCTGCCTAGCAGGGAGCACAGTGGGGACTCCATCCTGGGACTCCAGGATCATGACCTGAGCCAAAGGCAGTCGCTTAACCAGCTGAGCCACAAAGGCGCCCCCATTTCTTGATTGTTGTATTAGCCATGGATAGGAAACCTTCTGCTTGTTGTTCCTCTATCAGTCCCCTTGCTGAACCATTTTCTGAATTCTTACCTTATTTTTATTTGTTCCTTGTTCCACACTGTTGGAAAAGTTCAAGATATTTACGTCTTCTGGAGCTTCAAGTTCAGCTGCCTTGGCTAACACGCCTTGAACCGTGTGGCGCACAGGTGCTAGCGGAGCCCTGTGATTCTGCCCAGGTGGTGTGGAGGTGTCTCCCGTGCTGGAACGTTGCTTTGATTTAGATAGTTTGACGTGGAAGGAACCGTCATCCTAGTCTTATTAGGCATGTGTGTATGGACACATGCTCATTTATACCTAAAGTAGGGAACTGTGCGAGGCTTCACGAAGACTTAAATTGAAATGATCTTTCTCCCCCCATAGAGAACCCCATATAGGATCTGTCACAGTGGACCTACTGTGACTCCCTGGGATAAGTCCAGCGTGATTATATTGGTCATTCTCTTACTGTACCTTAGATTCTGTTTGGTTATCTGGCTTCATTTATTGGGATAATTGTTCCTGTCACTCACCTGTAGGTATCATAGATTCCCTTTGCATAATAAGCTGGATCATTATACATCTTTTCTTCTTTCCTTAAAAAAAAAATCTATGAAATGGAAATCGTCTTCTCTAAAATGTAAAACCATCTAGATCCAAGGCCTCCGAGGTATTCTTCTTTGTTCCATTTGTTTGGTCTGTTTAATTTTGCTTCTTCCTGTGTTTTCTTCCATATTGCCAATTTCATTGGAAGTCTCAATTTTATGAGTGAACAAGAAGCAAGAGTATTTTTTTTTCTTGTTTACATTTTCTTTGACTACTGTTAGGTATACCATTCTTATGTACCATCTTTATTTCTTCTTTAACCCTACCCCTCTTCCTTCTTCATATGAGAAACTTGAATATTTTCCTATTTATTTGCTCTCTACTCTTAGAGGAAGGATGAACCACCCAGTGGAAATTCAGGATGTCAGACACACAGAGGGGCAGCCATCAGAAGAGATTTTTCTCCATTTCTTGCTGGGCTGTGCTTCCTCTACCTTATTCAAGAGGACTGTCCGAATTTCAGGGTCTTTCTTAAGTGTTCCCCCCTTCCCCCCTCCCCAGTAATCTCTACACCCAACACGGG